ATTAGCAAATTAATGGGAACTATGACTCTGTTTCGAGTAACTGAGATTGTACCTTATGTGTACTGTAAATGCAGAGATTGTAGTCAGCCACAGTTTTTATGATCAGTCAGCTGAGCTAAGTATTTTCTTTAAAAAAAGAAAAACATAAGTAACACTAGTCAGCTTGCTGGCACAATACCAAATTTTCATAAAATTCCTTTAGGAAAAAAAAACATTTATTCTAAGGGGGGAAAAAAGACCAAATCGAAAGGCTATGTAGAAAATGAAGCTCAACAGTAATACCAGCTGGCACTTTTTAAGCCAGTGCTGTGTACTATTGCAAATATATTTAGAAAAAATAGTCAAAAAACGTTGTAATCATATGTCCTATCCTGAAGGTTGTTCGTGTTTCTGCCTTAATGTGCATCAGGAAGAAAATGAACTTCAAGTATCCATTTCCCCTAGAGAAAATCTCTTCCCTGAAACTCTGCAACTAATGAAATGGGGATCTATAAATAGCAGCATCATTACCATGAGAGCACTTGCTTTGTACCAATCTCTGCCTCTGACCCTCTTTACACTAATAACTAGTAGACTTCAATATAATTCCTCTATAGGATGATCAATATTAGGACAGTTAAAATGTGATGTACATTTACATTGTAGGACATATTTACTGACCCAGCTTGCTACAACATAAGAACATGCAATGCTACCTTGCCCTGGCTTTCTCTGCTCACACTTATCGGGGAGTTTCTTATTGTCTGAAGTGAGATGATGGCTGCTGTGGAACTTCTTTGTGATGTTATGGAGACAGGCGTTGTGACAAGACAAAAGCCATAGCACACCTGACCCATTCCCTACTGAAATCCTGCCCCATGACCCTCATTAAAATGGTTACTCCGTTCCCAATATTAGCCACTGAAGCATTACCAGAGCAAATTCTTCCTTAAACTGTTGAATATGATAAGTGAGCATTTCATCAGTAGGTGGAATGATTTGGAAAGGTGTTTCCCTCCTGTTCAAAATACAATATTTTCCATTGCCATAGAAAAAAAAAAAAGTTAACAGATATTTAATTTCACTCCCAATTGTAAATTAACCCGTGCTAAAAAGAGTACAGTTCAAGGATCTCGAAAAAACAAAAAGTATTTATTAGGTGCCTGTGGAATACTCTACCCCTGCGGTAATTTATTGATACCCAGATATTTATGTTGCCCTTCATTAAAGGTAAATATTCCCTTACATTTGCATCTCCCACATACAAAGAGCTCAATTGTTCTGCTAATTTCATCTCTCTTAAAATAAATATGATAAAACGTTCCAGTGGGTGGATGAGTTTAAAGGCTTTTATTCTCTGTGACAAAATTATTGATGACAACATCATAAATGGCACTTACTCCATATCCACATGTCACAAGAAAATGGGAAATATTAGCAGGGTCTCGCGTGTGCAGGAAGGAAGAAAGGAAGAGGCTGCTCTTTGTGCGGCTCCCCGCAGCCGGCCGAGCTCCGCACAGCTCCGCGGGGCCGGGCCGGGCCGGGCCGGGCCGGGCGCGGCTCCCTGCCTGCTTGCCTCCTCCTCCATCCATCCTGGCTCCTTGCACGCCGCGCAGCCCCGGGATAGCTCTCCCCGCACCTCTGTCATGCCTAATTAACAAGTCAGATGTACCATTTCGAAATTTTGCAATTAACCTGCTAAAATATTGCTGGAGGATGCTAATTGTTATGCCAGTTGCCATAAAAGCTCATTTGCATAACTGATGGGTGGAAAACAATTAGGAGCGGCGCTCGCAGGCGCGGACCGGGGGTCCCCGCACCGCAACGCGGCGGCGCCGCGGGTCCGTGCAGCCCCTTCGGGACCCGGCATCTCTCCAGCTCCGGTCCGGCATGCTTGCAAGCAAGCCTGCTTGGAGGCAAGGAAGGGCAAGGGCTATGCGAGAAGCTTTGGGCTGTTTCTTTTCAACTGGGGGCTGTGCTTAGCCACTTCCCACCGTCCAAGAAATGTCACTGTACTGCTCGCAGACAAGGCTCTTTGGGTAAACACGAGATCTTTCATTAGACCGACTAAAGACTTGGAAAAATGGCTCTTTGCAAGCTTTCGGGCACAGACACCCGACATCCTTTTTTGTGCCCAGAAGCTTGCAAAGAACATTTCCCCCAATTATTTAGAAATAATAAAAGATCTTGCGCCTTTACCCAAAGAACCTTGGTCCAATAAAACATTGCATAGTTACCCAAAAAACCTAGCCTGCCTGTATCCTTAGACCAACAAGGCTGCAACCAACATCCCTGCACTGCTAGACTTTTCTCTCTCTGTTGACAAGAACTTGCCAGTGCAACAACAGGGGCATGGCAGCGTTACAGCTGCAAGACACGAATGCCCCATTTCTTTCCGAAATATTAGAGATTTGGAAGTTACATAACAATCCCGGTGATTAAACAGCAGATGTTATGATAATCAGTCAGTAAAAGGAAATTGATTTGTTTAGTGCTAGCAACTACAATATTATTAGACTCTCAGTATATTGAAAGGAAGAAATATTTCCTTTATTGAACACAAAATGCCATAAATTTAGGTAAACCAAAATTAGTTCATGTACTACACTGACATCCAACAATTTATGTATGTAGAGTCTATCATTTAATTTTCAGACATTCAATTTCTATACTTGGTCACAGTCAAAAGGTCAAGAACCAACAAGTCAATACGTTCCCAAGCATCATATTGATATCACGTCACAGCTCTAACAAGTGGAGAGGAAGTAAGAAATAATTCACAAAAATTCCCCGCTGCTCACGGAGGGTGAAATTCCCCCCTGTGCAGTGGACCAAAGCAAGGCCTGTGCACCAGCTCTAATGGCCTCTAATGGCCAAAGGGCTTGTTTGGGGTCTCAGCACTGGGCAAATCTCACTTAACCGCCTGTACCCTGCCAACACCAAGCTCTTGGTAAAAGTGCTCACTGATGTCTTAGGGACAAGGGTTTCAGCCAAAGGACCCAATCCTGTGGTCAGTACTATGACTAAAGACCCTAAGAGAGTTCTTGCTTTGCTTAAAAAAAAAAAATTCAACACAGGAAAGAAATATGAGGTAGAAAAACTGATCGTTCCCACTCCATTTGAATAACAAGTGAAAACCTAAAAATACCTCCACTGCATGTTATTACCAATTGTATCACTGGGTTTTATAGTGACAGGACTGTGCTATAATTTTTGAGAGAACCTCGGCATAAAGCTCCATAAACCCAACCACTCCTGTAATGTATCACCTTATCTAGTGCACAATCATTTCCACAACTTTTCATGTTAGTATAATTTGTTCAAAAATGGTAATAAATATATCCTTGAAGTCAAATAAGAATCATTGCACAATCTACTGTAACTTGTTCTTACTAGTGACAGTTAATCAGGCCACCAGGACCTAACATAAAAGAAAATAAACAAATATTTCAGCATTACTTAGTGCAATTACAGATATTCACTAAAAGCACACTTCCTCCTTTAATCAACAAACATTTGTAATCAGTGCTTTAAATACCCTGCCAATTGTGTAATGGTATCTGTGAACAATCATCTTCAAAGTAACACATCAATCTTTGTCAGTTGTGAGCAAGAGGTTTCTTTTTCACTAAATGAAATAAAATCAAGACTCTATTTTAATTGTGCTACAGGCCTGATAGGTTTACCCATGTATTAAAAATACTGTCACCCCCAATTAACACACAGAAAAGCAGAACACCCAAGAAAAGCTTAACTTGGTTACTCTTCAACAGGTGGGACATCACTTGATTTATAGTTTGCCCAAATGATGTCCACTAGAAACTGTTTTGATGGGTCATTACCTATATATCTTTACAGACAATATTTATATCATTTTTTATTATACTTAATGCTTGTGCAACACTTTGCAACTTCAATGTGTAGTATAAGCAGTTAATTAAGCCTTGCAACAGTCCAAGGTGGTTGAATGATAACAACCCAATTGTTAAGACAGGAAAACTGAGGCACAGATGCGACATCCCAGACCTACTGGAATCAATACCAAAACTCTCATTAACGTCAGCAGGCTAGGATTTTGCCCAGACGACAAGCGACTTGTCCATGTCAGGGCCTGGTCTCGTTCCCACTGAAACCAGTGAAAGTTTTCACGGGGAGCAGGGCCATGATTTCCACCCAGGAGCTCCCCGCTCCCAGTCCTGTGTGTTCCACATGCCAGATTTGTATGCATGGTCCTACACAAGTAGTGACAGTCAAGTTGGTCTGCAAGTTTCCCATTGTTAGCCCCTTCCCTGGATAATCTGTAGCTGCTGCTGATACTTGGTTTTGTAGCTTCAGATACTATTTTGCTCCTATCTCCTGCCAGAACGGTTGCACGTTGTAACTAAAGTTTTAAGGTTAAGAATTCCTAGCACAGATGCTTGGGTTTCAGTAGTTCAGAGTATCATGGGAAGTAACAATAACCAAGCATTTCATTAATGAAGGCAGTCAATGTAGTGAAATGGGAACAACTTCCAACCAAAACTGGAGAGCCGGGTATGTCCTTACCTCTGCGGCAGGCTTGTAACTTCCGTTTACATTCATGGAAGTTAGCCTTGGTCGCAGACCCCACACTGCGCATGCATGCCGGCTGCCTTGATTTGATAATCCCCATAGCTCTCAGGAAGTCACTGTGGCTTATTGTGTCTTATGTTTTTCATGTTAAGGATTCCCCTGCAGTGTTAGAATTCAGCTGCCAGAATCAGTGGTCTCGCTTGCACATGGTGTGACCTGCCACCATGTCAAGATCTTCCGATTTTTATTTTCTTTTAGGGGAGGGGGTGGTTGACTAAAGAGGCTCATCACAATCACCATCATTCTGAGACTAACCCCTGATGGGCTTAGAGGTAATAATCTGTAGAGGAGGGGTGTCCAGTAAGCATATAGAAAATCTCACATCCTACAACCAATGAGAGAGAGCAGGCTGGAGGGTCTTTTTTTGTTTTGGGGGGGTTGTTTGTTTTTTTTGCTTTACATTTTTAAATATTTTTTCCTTTTCCCTGTATTACTTCTCTGATATTTTTGCATATTACTATGTAAAGAAGAAATTGAACCACACGACTGTATTAAAGTGACACTAGAGGCTGAATCAAAACCACAAAAGCCAGGAAATTTAGAGCTAAATCAGAAACTCTTATCTTTGCCTCATCCTACAGTGCCTTAATACTGCAGGGATCTCAGCACAGTGATCTTACATATCATATATGCTCTAATAAATAGGTTCAATGGGTTGAGAAAAGGGCAGAGTTTAAGCATTAACTCAGAATTTCGTTGCTCTGATGGCTTCAAGTCAATCCCTTAAGGTTACTTTAACATGGTTTCTGGCAGTTCAATAAAATCTATGGCCAATGTTACAACTCCTCCCTTCCTAAACGAACCAAAAATCTCACTCCGATTTACATAAGAAATTATGGGGAACCCTGGAACTGCGAGGGGATGATAAAAGCTCCAGGCTTGATTTCCCAAGTATCCACACCTACCATTGACTTTGGTAGCACAGGCCCTCACGCAAATCTCAAAAAGTAAAACTGGCAAACACATCGCCACACATGCTTACTGCTCAGCCCAGGAACATTTAGGACTGATAGGAGTTTACAATACAAAGCTGCGAGGTGTATCTAAAAAAAATGCCACAGAAATCAGACGACACAAAGAATTCGAATACTTTCCTTTTGTTAAGGTACAGTAACTGAGAACACAATGAAATACTTCATGTTCAGTATCTCCCATTAGATCAATTAATATTCAGAGAAAGCCTTTAACATGAAGTTTAAATAATCATAGAAGGAGAAAAAGAACCACCAATGTTCTAGAAGCTTCTCTAGACCTTTCAATCAATTTTATTTATATGCAAAACCAAGAGAAACTCAGAAAAAACAAAGCTCCTCCTGATGCTAAAGCTCTCAATTTACTGACAGGCAAATGGCTTCATGCTGCCACTTAATCTCATTTCTTGCATAATGCCCTCTAATTAGCATATCAAAGTGAATTAATACTTCTAGGGCATTAGCAATGGGAAAATCTGCTCCAGGCTTCACAATAGCAGTTAAGCAAGAGCCAAGAAATCCTCAAAAACACCACAAACCACTTTGCATTGCAAAACTGTTCAATTTATTTATCCTCTCTCTCTAAACACTTTTACCGCACACTGTTTTACTACTGTTCACCAAACAAAATGATAATTGCCAAAGTTACCAGCATCTGTAATGCCTGTTTAGAATCTTAATTTAGATTATGTAGCTGAATATATCTAGATGCTTTCATTGGCTCTGTCATAAATGTAAACGTATACTGCCCAATGGTTATGCTTTCCAGCCTTTTTTAATGCAAGGAAATGTTATTTTTTACCTGTAATAAATTATTAAAAATTAAATCATACATGAAAAAGCCACCTGCTGGACAATGCAGACTCACAGATTAGCTTTAAAAGTTGATGCATGATATAAATATACAAAAGGTTTTGACCTGTAAACATATAATAGAGAACACCTCCCAAAATGATTGATTTGTTGTACTGTAGAACCCACATTGTTCAATAATTCTTAGACAGCATTGCTAGAACAATTTAATGACTGAACAAACTGAAGTTGGATTTCTCTTAAACAAAGGAATTAAATTTAAAAAAAAAACAAACGAGATAAAAGAAAAATAAATACATAATGAGTCTGTGCATATGACCGTGTGCAACATAGGTTCTTTTTATCAAACTCCTTCTGCATGCAATAAATAAACATTGCAATAGATGCTCCGTCAGCCAATGATCCTTTTTTTCTTCAAACAAAAATTCATTGTCTGTTTTCAATCGTAGGTCATTTCGTTTGCAAAATATATGCCATAATTAATAACTGAGGACTGAAGAGATAAAAAATGTAATCATTTCAATTATCTACAGAAGAGTCTTTCAAAACTAAGCTACAAAAGGAAGAAAAAAAAGCAGGCTAGTAAGCATAATCTAAACCTCTAAACCTACGGAGAGAGTATAAGCTCATATGTAAGGCTAATGACAAGAAGAGGAAGAAAATGTCAGGTTAGCTGGTGTTTGATGTTTCTACTTATGGTATACAAATAATAAGAATAAAGTTCTGGGAAAATAAATTAAATTACTACAGATATTTATGTAGCATTTTCCACCTTTCTAAAATGTGCATTCTTGCTGTTGAAAAAAAAAATACTCAAGCATCCAGCTTTATTTCCCCTCACATGCAACTCCCCTGTTTGTTTACTCATGCTGTAAAGATAACACTGCAGAACAGCTCTACAGTCTGGCGGAAAAGCCTAATTCATCAGTTTGGTTGATGAAGTACTCTAACTTTATAAAAGCAGGGACTATAAGAGCTGACAGAAACTTTAATAATTTATATTAAATATTGATGTGAATTATTTACTCCATTCATACTTAAAGACACGAACTGCCTACCAGAGAAAAGCAAATGTGACAAAAGGTCAACATGATGGTGAAAAAAGGCAGGCTGTGTCAGGCATGTGTTATCTGAACCATGCTGATCACCTTGATAAGCGAATAGCATTAAACATGACTGCTGAGAAAACAAACAAAGCATTCTTCTCATGGTGTCAATTCATAGAATACAAACAACTACATCTAATTCCATCAATTATACAAGAAGAGGAAAACTTCCCTCCGAATCCCTATTTATTTTGACTTGCTAGTATGCAAAAGTAGTATTAATTCTTAAACATAGTCAGCCAACCATCACATATATGACTCAGAACTGTAAAATACTCTAACGATATAAAAATACATACAAATGAAACTATTTCACTTTCCTATGTTACTATTAACATACATTGCACAGATATTTAATTTTTATTATATTTAGAATCCGTTTAATTTGGAATATATTTGTCTAAGCTTGACTGCAAATATCATTACAATAATGTTTCACACAAATCAATATTTAAATTGAATATAGTATAATATCCATATCATGGAAGTTTGTTTCTTTCATTGAAAGCTGAAGGAATTGAGCAAACAAATCTATTAAATCTGTAAAATAAAGGATGGTCTAGCTTGCATCATTACCTACCATTATATTAATTTATTCTTGAATTGGCAAAAATGATTTGTTACAATAAACATCATGATATAAACCAGGTGGTACCTCACAATCATCTAAAAATATTTAGAAGTAAGCAAGCCTGTTTCAAATTCAAGAATAAAATTAAGCCCACTAAAAATGAGGCAGAAAATAAAAGAATTACCTGCTCCTACTTGGTTAGTATTGACAACCAAGTCTAATTTTATGTTATATGCAGGGCAAAAAAATGGACTGGAAACAGAGAACCCTGTAATCAAGTTGCAGCTTGTTATTTAAATATATCAAGGAGCACTAAAATGGCTTGGCATAAAGGTAGTATGTAGTAACAGGTCTTCTAAGACATAATGTAATGCATTTTTTCTTTTTGTGGCTGAAAACAACCACAAGAACTGCCCTATTTTCTTAGCCAAAAAAACAGAAAAAAATCTCACTTTTAAAGCACCACCATGGAGATAGTATTTTCTCTCTCTAAATGCATGCTTGAAACAGATGACAAACTGACAATCATATACTTCATTCAATTTAATTTTTACTAGTAAAACGTTTATGAGGAAAAGTGATGTCATTACCATTAGGGTGGTGAAACTCGCTTAACATTCTAATCACTTGGAGTATGTTTAATGTCAATTTTTAAATATATCATTCAAAATTTTAGTTTATTATTATTTTAAAAATCTAAATGTTAAAACCACATAAAAATTAAAACAAAAAGTGAGCAATCCTAAATAAAGATGGAGATTTTTTAATACACACTGTCTATTTTCTGTTCTAGTCCAGGTACATTAAAAATTAGAAAAGCATCTTTACAAGAACATCAGTATTGAATATTAATATATACTTAAAAATAGCTCAATTTAATAAAAACAGCATCAGAATTCATAGTTAAAAATACCTACAATATATAAATTAAAATTATGTCATTTCACTGTTTCACATTATTTATCCTTCCAAGTTCAGTTAAAGACTGTTTCATTGTATTCCAAATTGTTGATGTGACATGACAGTTTGCAAACACTGAAAAGTTGAAATTAATATAACGTAAGGAAACAACCTGGTAACCCAGGTTAAAAATAACCTACTCCAAATGAGAAAGGGATTCATATTTTCATATTCTTACTGCAAGCAACGGGATAGGTGGAGGGAGGGAGGGACTGTAGGTCTTTCGAATACTGGTTACCTAATGGGCAGTTTAAGGATTTCACAACATACTGACCAGGGGTGCTCATAAACACCTCAGAGTTGGGACACATACCTCACTAGGGAGTTATGCTGAGAGTGAGGACATGTTCTAGCTCTTTAATCATTAGAGTGGCATTCTATGGCTGGTTTTAGTTGTAGCAATAAAAAAAAAAAAAAGGCTTCTAGCTTACATGGCGAACAGCAAGAAATTAATCTCATGGTTAACTTCACTCTTCATCTGTTTTTCACATCTAAATTTTTTCACTCTATGAAATAAAACTCTGCACGAGGGCAGAAGATCTTTAATGATCATTTTCTTCCTCTCTCTTTAGACATAAAAAATAGTTCAACCAGCCCAACCAGCCAAGCAGGCCTTTCTCTTCCCCTGCGGACACCTCCTGCAGTCGAGAAGTTCATTAAGTTTTATGATCTTCCCAAGTCAGTCCTGCTTATATGCCTCACAAAGGCCACAAATCTGGCAAACCATCATGTATGCCATTAGGCATTACTAGTAAATGAATGCTATTTAGGGTTTGTGGTGACAGTAAATTAGGGTTTGGTTGGCAGCTGTCATTGTTTGGGGTGAATCTTTTTTAAAACATCAAATTTAAAAAAAAATGAAGTCAAGAAAACATGATGTTACAGATTATCCACCAGTCCAGTCCAGAACTCAATAAACACAACATTCCACTGGGAAATAACTGCAATTCCCTAACCAATTTAAGACCATAAGAATTAATATATTTTCATTTGCATCAGCATGAGTAAACATAGTACTTCAGGTACAGAAACGTACTGGAGTGTAGGGGAAATCAGACTGTGAATCTAAGGGTTTTTCTGACAGTAAATAATGGACATACAAAAACCATATGTGTGCATAAGTATTTGTTATCTACTGGTAGGCAGATAAAAAGACAGATTAATGCCAAGGTATGCAACAGATGCGACTCAGCATTAAAAGTACTACTAAAGATTTTAAAGTAATGTTAATGGAAGAGACACAGATAAAAATCTAATATAAGGGAGTTGCTAGACTGAGTGATCTTTCTTATTTCCATATTTTACTAAGATGACTTCAGGAAAACTTTGAGGTTCATTTTTCTTTGTTGTAATTAAATAAATAAGTGGCAGTTCGTAAAGTATCTTTATGAAAAACCCTGGTACCTGGTGGTTGTCTCTAGGAAAGGCGATCTGGGTATATCAACACTTAAGAAAAAACGATAGTTTAGCAAACACTGTTTTTTAAACTTCAAAATAAATTACAGGTTAGATTTTGTACAGCTGGTGAATTCCTTTAAACGCAAGAAATACCTCACTGAAAAAAAAAAACCCTCTTCAGTTCCTCATCCCTGAGTAAAGGAGAAAATCTTTAATAAATGTAATGCATCCACTAATCCTGGAGGGAAATGTGCAGGGGATCTGCTATGTTTGCCTCACCTGAAAATGGGGGCTCCAGCAAACATTCTCCATCTACTGAAATAAGGAAGTCCTCCCTGGCTGCACTGAACACCAGTGGAGTACTGGAAATGAATGCAAGTAAATACAAAAAGTAACTTGTGGTTGCATTACTTATTTCATGAAAAGTGATTGATATTACACTTTATGCATGGGCAAGATTCTCTTTTAAACCTGGTACTGATAAAGTCATCATAGTAATTCCTGTTACTAGCACCAAGGTACACTTTGCCTCAGACAATGAAGAATTAAATACAGAAGCACATTCCAGTTGCAACTAAACTAGATTATCTAGAGTAAAATCCAGTGAAGACAAACTGGAGGGGAAAAAAACCTCTAACTGCATCCCAAGCTGTTCACCCTACAAGTTCAGAAGTCTCTGGAAAACAATGACTATTTGCACTGTTTCTCATGGATACAGATGAGAGAAAATATGCTAGATTTTGCTTTCACATTTGCTTTGCGTTGGTAACACTTACTGAAGTCTATACAGCCATTTCATCTCAACTAGGAGATCCTGAGTGAATGTCCCCCTATGGGAACAGTTTTAGAGGGGGTGGATTCATCTCCATCAATCACTCGGTGCATTAATCCTATTCCTCCCGTGTTGCTGGGACTGGCAGGATCTTGCCTTTGGCCAGACAGACGCCTTCACTCTTTGTTGGTTCTTAGCTATTTTACAAAAGAGATAACTTGCAAACTTGGCTCCACTAGTTGGGACACAAAAGCAGGATCTCAACTTACAAGTTATCATTGAAATATCCCAAAACATTTCAAATCGCAAAATCTCTTCCCTTCTCTGTTTCCTTCTTGCTTCTGAAGCAGCAAAGGCCTCACTAAACCCCCTCTGCCAGTAATCCTTGTCTCTGAAAAGACTTGTTTTTCCTTCTCAACTCACCTCTGACATGCGGTTGACTATACTTTTCTTTCAAAACAGTGAAGCTAAGCCCTGTGCAAATAAGCGATTGCAGGACCTACGCCTGCCTTCTTAATTGAAATCTGCCTGCTGCAAAATGTCTAAACACCAGGGGCAGGTTGCTTAGTTAGCTCTGGAGCTGTCTGGGCAAAAACTTTAGAGAAAGGCAAGAACACAAATACAAACTGAACAAGGGAAGAAGGGATCTGAACAGTAATCAAGGCGAAGTGTGCGTGTATGGGGGGAATTAATCCCCTTATCCATAGTAATATAATGCAATATAAAGCAGAATCAATCTTAATATTCACATCACAGTCAATACCCTAGTGCTTAGCTGTCAGCAAAAACTGAAGTGGAGCCCTGATAGAAAGGAAACCCTTGGACATTAAGCAACATAATTTACTGAGAACTATGCACTTTTAGGCTCCTGAGCTAAGATTCGCTGTGATTTCATGTTTGATGTCTTATTCCATAGCCACATGCATTTTTTGTCATCAATCTGCAATTAAAAGGACTATAATTTAATTCCAGATGTAACTAAAAAGCTAGCCTACCATTTTGTTTTAACTCAGGCCATAAGCAATTTTTTTTTGCTTCTCATGAAAGAACATACCATACTTTGCCAAATCCTCCTTTCTAAGAAATTATTAATTTTCTCCATGCCAAATCAATGGTGTCAAAGAACACAAAAATTACTACAACCCTCCAAACACCAGGAGGCATTTATTAGTGTGCCTTCTTCATATAGCATAGGGAAATTAGTTTGTCAACATCGCTGAGAAAAAAGATCTGGTGCTTAAAATATGACTTCATAAAAAAGAATAAAGGCTTTGCTGTTGTCACTACAAGCAAATATTGGCACGCAGCTTTCACCACTTTTGCCACCGCTTAACTTCACCCTTAAACAGTCTAATCGTTAATACTCTCAAGTCCTTAGCATCAGAGCGTTTTAGTTTTTGTTAGGTTTTCTCTTCAAATCAGATGCGTCCAGAGCGAACAGTATATTCAGACATGCCAATGCTAACAAAGTTTACTGGTCCCCTTTGCATGTTCTGTATTACAGGAATAAAGTGTTTTTGAATCGCATACATGGTAAATGTTTGTGAAGTGCTTTGAAGAATAAAAGCACTATATAAGCATTAGGTGTTGGTGTCATAGCAGAAACATCATTTACCTAGGTTAAGCCCCTAACACACTTGAATGTGTGGCACAAGCTCAATGACTAGATTTCTAAAAACAGCGTCCTTTTAAAATGGGATGTACTTCGGCCATCCAACAGCTGTAAATCCTTAGTACTATAAATATACACAACTTTGTGGTATTAACCCCATCTCCTCCTTTCACTATTCCCTACTGCTGAAATCCACTATTCAGAAAACTTCCATTTCTTTTATATCTTCCTTTTTTTGTTTGTTTGCTAAGCAAGCCAGATTTCTGCAGACAGAAGGACATGGCTAGCATGTTCCATGCGCAAAACATAACACTTCCAGAATAAAGATGCAAAAATCTTTGTCATAATACACACGAACGTATGCCTGGGTACACACATATTTGTGCACCATTTCTAGAGACACATGCAGGTCCCTGAGCAACTCAAAAGGCTCCAGCCCATTTCCTGCCTGGTCAGGGCTGTGTCCTATGGCAGATCCTGCGCTAATTGCAGGGCTCCACGAGAAGGTGGCCCGAGTCAAAGAGAAAGTTGCCGGCCAGGCTGCTCACTTGCTCTCACTCTGCAATTGGCTTCTGCAAGCTCCCATCGCTCCTTTAAGAAGCTGCCACACAAACAAGGCAGCTGCTCTGTTCCTTCCCTGATTGCAGCCAGAGGGGGAATGGACTCTGCGGACGGTGACACACGATCATTTTCATCTACATTTCATTTTACATCGGGATTATGAATTGTAAAATTCGCTGCAGATTTATGGCCCCCCCCCCCTCCCCTCCCCTCCCCTCCCCGGGATGAGAAGCAGGGAAGGAGGCAATGATCAAAGATGGCTGCGGTGCCCCGAGCAGCCCG